CACAACCGGCACCTGTGTTTGATCGCAGGTGCAGTGTTAAGTCGAGCAACTGCAACTGGTTGCCATGGGCAACCTCATGTATTAACTTAAGACCCATTCCTTATTTTCTAAACATATTGTAAATATTTCTAACATTACAGCCTTGCATGCCTTTTTCTGAGATAATTAAAACTTACCATCAAATCGAAAATCGTTTTGCGGCAAAGTAAGCAATTCTTCATGAATATTTCTGTCTACTCTGGCCAAGAAACTACCGCTGAGAGCAGGGGCTATTTTTTATCCAACGCAGACCCCAGAATTCTGGACAAATATTTCAGTCTGCCATTGAATAAAGGCACATTTTAAATAAAAAAACCGAAATTAAAAACATTCCAAAAAATTACCACAGTCTCGTATCATTCATTTGAATGTGGCTGTTATTGATATGCCTAAACGAATAACGTTAATTCAAACAGTTCATCTGGCATGGTAAACGCAGTCTTTATCGGACTCGTGCATAAGAATCTGCGAATAATTAGAGTGCGTCAAGATTGGAAAAGTACTCGACACTTTGTCAAAGGCGGCGTTTACCCTGTAAAGTTTTCTCACGGTGTCGTGACGGCGACAAAGGGAGCAGGCTGTAGACCGAAGGTCCAACTGCTTATTCGGCTGAATTTGTGGTCGTTTAACGAAAAGTCAGAACACAGTGTTACAAAATGACACTGATAGCACCGAACAGGGCATCAGCCGTTGATGAACTGACAAGCGATGACGCGTCCCGGTATTTATACATGTGCGTCAAATATTCCTGTGTTATCGCTAGCGGCGACGTGGGTTTCAGAAGAATCAGTAATGTTCCCGTTGTGGGCGTAATTGCGTCGGAAGGTTCTATGATTATCCCGGTGGTCCTTTCGTCAATAGGCATGGTTGCCTAGGGCAGCGTAATGCGGCGATAAGGAAACGTTAGAAAAAAAAATGTGGTAGTGTCGACAACGTCTTAATGCCAGACATTGGTAGATGTCCTTACGAGCAATTTCGTGTAGTTCTATGTAATCAATATGGAGTCGCATCGGGGCATTCATTTTTTAAATAGCACAACAGGAGAAGACCATGTGCTTGTGGAAGGCCTGATGAAGCTGCGCGCGAGCATATCGTTGACTTGTTCTTCTATGTTCTTGCGTTCAGAAGCTGACAAATGTTAAGGGCGAATGACACGAGATCTGTTGGTGCAGGTACGGTGAGAAGCCACTGCCGTTCGATCCAAGGCCACCGGAACAAACGCCAAAACAAGTTTTATATTTGGCTATATAGTGAGCAAAGGACCAGCTCGTGTTTTATTGGCATTTGTGAAAAATGTGGTCCTGAGAGCCGACGATGAACCGTCCGATGGCATATACTTTGAGTGTGACGAAGCAGATGAACCAGTGATAGACTACACACACCGCTGCTAGAAATAGTGGTCCCCTCCGGCAGCAGTACTGGTTCTGGCGTCGTGTTGTAGGCGGTGATGCTTGCATAACCGCGTGATAACCACATTGGGCAAAATGCGATGGTGATGCCTCGACAAATGCAGTGCTGGCAAAGAACGCTAACTGCATCACCGTCTAGAATGTATCATGACTTCATCGTAAGATGATGTTCTTGTTAGGGAGACTGGGAAAACTCGGAGCCGTGACAAAGTTAGGCGGCAAAATGTCGGGAGCAGAAGGAAGCTCAGTGTCCGTAATACAAATGAAAGGTCGACCACACGAAATGCTGTCCAGGTATGATCTGCTCATATAACATGAGCCGCGCGACCTCACTTTTGCATAGATCTTTCTCATCTGCATATATATATATATATATATATATATATATATATATATATATATATATATATATATATATATATATATATATATATATATATATATATATATATATATATATTACTTGTATCTTCTCAAGTGGGGAACTCAGGTAAAAGCAATAGTAGAAGCCGTTGTTGGGCTAGTTGGTGCATGTCAACTTCGCACCAAATTCACAAAAACACAGAGGAATAAAACAGATCGACAGCACGGGCACTCACTCACATCTGTTTATTTTTTGAGAAACGAGGCCATGATGAACCTACTTCACGTTAACACAATTATTTATTTTATTTATTTGTTTAGTAATACTGCCAAACCTCATAGAGGGTCGAAAACAGATAAGACATACATAACGAATATACAATGCTCATAAAGTTTCTTATTATATTGTCGCAATATTATCGGGCCGTCCCTTACTTAATCAGGCTTGTGGACACATGCTCTCTGTATAACTTGCTTCTGACATATACAGATAAGTGGCTTTTCACTAACCTAATTATAACACCATTTGTTTATGTTATAGACCTCCAAAATTTTCCGTACTTACTTATTCTTACTTCTTGCCAGGATCCGTATCTGCGTGAGGTATTGTGTTTCCAAAACAAGTACCATGCGTTAAATGCGCACTGTCTTTATTATTTTGCATCAGAGCATGTTTTCTTGTTCGATCATTGACGCAGCTCCCCGTGTGCCCAATATAGCTCTTCCCACCCCGATACGGGTATTTCTTAAGCCACTCCAGTGGCGCACTTCCTGAGCGGCCGCCCATGCTTCTCTTTCCAGCCTTTCTGCTGTTGAGCACGACTTCAATTGAGGGCACAACTTCGCCAGTTTAGGGCGGCAAACACCAGCAGTACACTATGCCTACTCGCCACCTTTCTTACATTTTGTGTAACCTTATGAATAAAAGGTAGCACCTCCGGCTGTTATTCATGCTTTCGTGCTTCAGACAAGCCTTTTTTTTTCACCTTCTGCAGAAGACATTGGGTTGTGGAACCGCATACAAAATTGAGAAAGGGAATGTAACTCACAAGAGTGGAGCTTGGGCTAGTTGGTGCGTAGTCATATTTGCAAAACGTTTCAGCGCGCGAACAAAGAAAAAAAGGACAGGGTAGGTAGAAAGTCTTTTTTTCTTTGTTCGAGCGCTGAAACATCTTGCAAATATGAGCAAGGAAACCTGGCCTCCTCCAATCGATCTAATTCTGCATTCAAACTAGACTGTATCAGACGCGGGCACAAATTTCAAAGTGCGGACACCAGGGAAAGCATTGCTATGCCCCTGTTAACAGTTGTCGAGTGGACACAATCAAAGGGTAAAACTTCTTTCTTCGCATTGTGGGAAAAAGAACAGCAGACGTGATTGCCATAATAAGTTAGTTTCAAGTATTAAAACTGCAGGACCGCAATGTCAGGCAGCTCATGCGCAAAAAAAAAAAGCTTTGACAACTCAAGTGAAAAATTTCTAAAACCTTTTTAACCATTACTTCGGTCATACAACCCCCCGTTTTTTTAATTAAATCGGGAAGTCGCCTAGGAATATAAAAACTTTAAAAGCCATTGCATCGCTAAAGATAAATCTTTGTCAGCCTGTAAAAGGAAAATGTTCCACAGCAAAGGAGCAACGAAAGACTAGATACAAATTCCTTGCCACTGTCGATAAATGTTACCCTGATTCGACAGAAAGATGAAGGCAAGACAGGCTTCCACCAATATTAAAAACCTATCTGCAAGCATGCCTATTCAACCTTCAAAGCCAATAGTTCCATGCTCATCAATACAAGTCACCAATACAGCATCAGCCGGAACTGAATAAAAATTTATCCTCAATGCCTACTGAAAAAGAAAAAAACCACTATTATTGCTACCCTGCAGACACTCTATCAGATCTTTAGACGTGTTGATAAAAAAGGCATCACTAACCCTAAGCCAACTTTTTGTCAGAAAGCAGCTGACGTTTCTTTGCTACGATTATTTTTGACTGACGATCGCCTTAAACGGAATGCTCGGTTTGTGCGTATTTGCTCGAAGAAAGTATCTGGCACCTCCCTTTTGCTTTTATCTATTTATTTTGCCAAATAATCAAGCACATGCCTTTTATATAGCTTTAACACCCTATCCAGCCTTGTCCCCGTAAAGGGCAAGGCTGAAGAAGCTGTTATAAAGAATTTGAGTCTGCAAAAAGTAATGTGGCTAGGGCCAAGGGGAGAAATTGAAGCTATGTAAAAAAGATTATCAAATAATAGGTAGGCAAAAGAAAAAAGGCGAATGTCTGACGGGAACGGGACAACCTCTCGGCGCAAGAAATGCATTCGCATATTCTTACGATTCCCTTCCGGGAAATGGGACATTTTTTACTTGTAGATTCTGCCTGAGTCAGCTTTGTGAGACGAGAGAAGAGGAGGAAAGCGACAGTTGAGACGAGATGCAAGCATGCGGCACGAAACGCGAGACACGAGCATGCGCAGTGGATGGTGCCACCGAGGCCGCATCCGCGACATCGTGCAAATAAGAAATGCTCGGCATAAAAAGAAGCCTTAAATTTACAGTCACCGTTCACTTGCATCTATTACTCGTAACCTACCATCTGTACGCGCACTTTTAAGCGAACCAACAAGCTCGACAAGTGTTACTCCTCCGAGTTGGTAATTGAGGCATAAATACGACCACAAACAGGGTTTAAAGACTTACAAAGAAGGTTCAGTCTAAATGGAGGGCGACGCAGCAAGCGACGAAAATAAAAATAATGGGAGTAACCTTAAGAGACAAAAGAGAGCAGAGTGGATCAGGGAACGAACCACGGTTAAGGATACCATAGTTGAAGTTAAGAATAAGAAATAGACATGGGCCGGGTCGGATAACCGCTGCTCATTAAGGATAACTGACTTGATTACCAGAGAAGGCAGGCGGGCTAGGGGGAAGCAGAGAGCTAGGTGGGAAGATGAGATTACGAAGTTTGCAGGTATTATGTGGCAGCATCAAGCACAGAACCGAGTTAACTGGTGATACATGGGAGAGGCCTTTGTCCTGCAGTAGATGTAGCCAGGCTGATGATGCTGCTGCTGCTGCTGCTGGTGCTGCTGCTGCTGATGATGATGATGATGACGAAAAGTACAACCACTTTTAAGGCACTGGAATCGAACTTTCGCTCAGCAATATTTTATTTTTTTGCAGGAGGCAAGATGCCAGTTACACTGACGCCAGACAATGCCTCTGCTACGCTTAAGGTAGCTGCTTTGGCTGCGCTGGTCGCAGTCGGCTGGGTGGAGCTGAAGCCTAGAACTACGCGGATCATCGGCCACACGCGAGGAGTCACACTTCTTGACCTCGCACATTTTGTAAGCTAGTGAGATCTTTGACTTTGTCTAATTATCGATCTTCTACTTTTTCACCAAAACGCATGCTCGAAACCATCACCCTACTTGTCCCAACCTGATGATTCAGAGCAATTCAGTTTGGCATTAAAAAATATGAGGCGAATACGCAATGGCTGATGAGGCCTTCCTACAAAACAGACGGAACGGTTTAGCCTAACCCTAAATATTTATTTGTATTTATCATGGTGATTACTCTCTGCAAACTCTATTCATACTAAAATTTTACCGTTTGACGTGCCTGTGTATATGAATGCACCGAATTGCTCAACGATGCTCTAGTGTCACACTCAAGCGAATGAAGAAAGGAAGTGGAAATATAAGGGCTAATTGTTTTTTTGTGTTAGACACAATACTAGTGAGAACCCCACACAGTGATGCCAAGCAATGTATTGGGGGTGTTATCGGCAATCATTGTATTGTAACTATGAAGAAATAAAAGTCGACTAAAAAACAACTTGTCACGGGCAGAAACCTGAACCTACGACCTGAAATAATGCATCCGATGCTCTGCCAACTAAGTTACTGCAACGGCCATTTTTCCGTCCCTTTTTTTTCGGGTAAGCACGTGCAATTAAACGTGGGAGCGTCAGTAAGCGCTGATAGTAGCTATTAGGGCGAGTGTGGAACACTCGCTTTTTCGTCTTTGTTTGGCGTCCAATATCACAGATCTTATTACAAGCTAGCGGTGGCGCACACCCGCTTTAGAGAGGGTATGTGCTACCAGTGGCTACTGTAAAAAAAATTTTCTCCGAGGTCAGAGTAAAACGCTTGTCTCCTACCCCTCGCCCCCCCCCCCCCCCCTATTCGGAGCAATTTTTGCTCCGGTCATCCGGAGGAAAATTTTTGCTCCGGCTGGCCGGATGAATTGCGTGCCGCACCCGGAGTACATTTAAAAGCTATTTCACTCCGGCCGGCCGACTGGAGCTAATTGCGTGGCGACGCCGCAGCGCTTTTTACTCGAATTTTCCTCCGGCTGGCCCGATTGACAAGGTGGCACCTCCGGCTCATTTTTTGCGGGTTTTTCACTGAGGCTATCCGGAGCTTTTGTGTCGGAACTCCGGAGTATTTTGCAAATGTACTTACTTTGTCCAGACAGAATGCCAGTAACAGTGGACTAGTACTTTTTAGAGTGTTTGCTTCGCTCCTCATTTATTGTATGTTGATTGTTTCACGCGTTGGTTAGATGAAGAAAGTCCCTATTCTAATATAAGCACTGCAGAGGAACTGTGTAATATTTTCCACACAGCTGTAGCAGATTGAATTTAAGTAAACACTTGAGTTTATTTCTTTAAGTACTTAAAAATAAAATGCTGATTCTGGATAATTACACAGCAATCAGGAGAATGAGACATGAATAAAACATGCAAAAAGCCATCAAAATATAAACACAAAAAGACATATCAAATGAAATGAACAGCACTCAAGTTCAAAACGCAGCGCTGCAAAATTACCCTACAATGCTGCAAAACGATGCACTACAAACAAAAAACGCCTGGCCACCGAGAACAACTCTTCACCATCCCTAAAGGAACATCCAATAAATTCATTGATGACGCAAGAGTTGAGCTGATTGCTTACTACATATTTAGAAAAAAAATTATTATACATGAGAAGGGTAAGTAATGCGAGAGGCATGGGAACTCAGCCACGGTCATTATAAAGTCTGCGAGTCTATGAGAAGAAGCAACTTCTAAACACACACACACACACACACACACACACACACACACACACACACACACACACACACACACACACACACACACACACACACACACACACACACACACACACACACACACACACACACACACACACGCACACGCACGCACGCACGCACACACACACACACACACACACGCACACACACGTACGCACGCACGCACGCACACACCACACACCCACCCCCACGCACACACACACACACACACACACCACACACACACACACGCACCCACACGCACACACACGCACACACGCACACACACACACACACGCACGCACACACACACACCCACACACACACACGCACGCACGCACACACACACACACACACACACACACACACACACACACACACACACACACACACACACACACACATACAAACACACATCAGAATTAAATATGAAAAAGTTCAAAACTGGTCAAAGTTCTCTATATATTTCTAAATCGATAGCTCTATCTTTGCTGAAACATCCAAAAGAAATCTTGAACTAAAATGACCTTATTTCAGTACTCTTGTAGACGGCATCAGCAATACCCCTCCCGATAATTTCCTAATTTTATCAAATATTAATTTTGAATAATACAGTCACGGTTTTGTGTGTGCTCATCGTCATACTTCTAGCAAAATCAGTCCCCACAGTATGCATGATTGCGGCCGGTCTTAAAGGAAAGCTCATTTTCATCTCCTTTGTAAATTATTTTCGAGAGAAGTTGGCATTGTTTTATTTTTAAGCTGCACTGACTCCTCTGTTTTGATACTTGTCATTGGGAACATTTTTCAAAGATGAGCATGTATTTCTTCAAGACGGACAGCTTAAAGTACAAACTAAGGAAAGTTCATTACAACGAAAACAGAAAAATAGCTAATAAAAGGCACAAACATTACGCCACTTAAGCCAACTGAATTTTCATTGAAATAAGGGAAGGCCGACCAGTTTACTCAACTGAAAGATCCATGCACACGGTCGGAGGCAGCAGAAAGTGATGCATGTGCGAGTGTCATGACCAGCGTCCCTGGCTTGAAGAAATGCTCTTTTCCCTTCTTCTGTTCACAAGCGAGTGTTGTTGAATTTCTCAGGTCAAAACTACGTTGCAGCTTTGTTTGCACTCCAATATACCGCCAAAAAAAAAACTGCAGTCAAAGCCCCAGCAGCACGACTGAAAAGAAAAACAAAACGCAGCAGCAAGGATAGTAATCTCTCCTATTATTAACACGGAAAATACGGCTAGTTTTTCGAAAGGGTGCCTTCTCTTTTCTTTCTTTCTCTCTTTCTTTCACTACAATGTCCCCTTCATCTTAGAATGTTGAACTAGGCTGTCAGATGGCTTAACTCTACTACCCCCTCCCCCTTTCACAGAAACGTCGAGCACTGCATTACTCGTCCTGCCAAGCGAATCCTCTTCTTTTTTTCTGCATTCCTTGTCTCTAGTAACGTCAATTTGTTTCGCCCCTCGTTTTTTTCCTGAAAGCACCACATCCCGCGAAGAGCCTAGTACACTTGGTCATTAATATCTCAGATACTGTTTATGCAACCAAAATAATATTTTCACAAGTATGAGGGCGTGTATACATTCTAGAAGTCTGTACAAGTTACAATGCCTCACCTCAATTCATAAAATTTATAAAGAATTAACACTGATTTCTTTATTCAAGTTTTATTAGTTGAGCTTACATATATCCTGGCATATATTGATTTTGAAAGCAGACAAACGTTTATGTGTACCGTTTATGTGTACTGACAAGGCCAGAAATATTCTTTAACTAGTTAGGTTCACCTATGACGATTATAACGTTTGATAGAATCAACCTAAAGCTAATATACTACTATTGTTGAATATCTACTCAGTGCTCCAAATATTACACTCACATTATTCTACTTACACGAGGTATTATGGCGTTACTGCTGCGCTAAACAGCACGAGTACAAGAAAGTGCACAGCCACAAGCGCTTGTTGTGTTCATTTTTTTGCGCTACGTTTATGCCATAATGAATCAGTACCAACTCGCTCCACTCTTCCCTTTTGCTTTACCGAAGTTATATTAAGAAAAAAAAAACAAGTAGTCCAAACAACGCATTATCAGAAATCCGCTGATTTTTCACTAATGTCTTGTAAAAAAGCCAAGTATTGATCCAATGTTTGGTTTATCAACGCAACATTATCACATTTTAGAACTTAGAACGGTGGGGCTGGTAGCTGTCATGGCTACCAGCCCCGCCGTGGTGGTCTAGTGGCTAAAGTACCCGAATGCTGACCCGCAGGTGGCGGGCTCCAATCCCGGGTGCGGCGGCTGCATTGCCGATGGAGGCGGAAATGCTGTAGGCCCGTGTGCTCAGATTCGGGTGCACGTTAAGGAACCCCAGGTGGTCAAAATTTCTGGAGCTCTCCACTACAGCATCTCTCATAATCATATGATGGTTTTGGGACGTTAAACCCCACATATCATCATCATCATCATCATCATCATCATCATCATCATCATCATCATCATCATCATCATCATCATCATCATTTCTACCGGTGGCGCCAACTCCCCTCCCTTGAAACTCGTACTTTTTTCACTGTCCGGGCCTTTGCCAGAGCCCATTTTGCGACTGCAGCGCGAAAGCTAAGACGACTTTTAAACTCCAGCTCTAGTGAATGACCGGTCCTTTTATACACGTTTTTGCAATGCACCGTAAAATAACGAATCGACATTAATACGGCTCGTATGCCCCCTGGTGCAGTCAACGCAGTAGCAGCGGACGGTCTGATGAGAAAACATAATCTTTGTCTGGCGCAGGTGTGACTGCATGGTAGTAGAGGAGCGCATTGTCAAGCTGATGAATATCGATTGAAATGTAGGCTTTACTATTCCAAAACCACCATATAATAAGATACGCCTTTTTAGAGGGCTTCGGAAATTTGGACCACTTAGAGTTTTTTAACAACCACAATCTGAGCACACGGGCATCGAACATTTTCGCCTCCATCGAAAATGCAGTCGCCGCAGCTGGGATTCAATGCCAGAAGCTGAGTTCATAATTTTGGTGCTGCCAGTAACTTCACACTCGAAGTTTTGTGCGTAATGATGAGTGATTAAATAAATGCGAACCATTTCGTTGCGGATTCTGGCGTATCTATCTATCTATCTATCTATATCTATCTTCTATCTATCTATCTATCTATCTATCTATCTATCTATCTATCTATCTATCTATCTATCTATCTATCTATCTATCTATCTATCTATC